TCATTTTAATGGCTCGGCTGAAAATGGAATCTGCATTTTGTGAAACAGTTATTTGGTAACAATTCAGTCATTTCAAATGTTGATAAAATTTCCTTTCTCTTTTTTATACTTTGTTGCCCTTTTTGGATGTTAATACCAGATTCCAACTACTGTAATATTTTCCTGGTCAAAACTACCTTACACTTCTCGAAGAGGTAAATTTGAATTATTATAATTTTAGTCTTTAAAACCAGCATTAGTAAATAAATCTATTGACCTTTTTGCATTTAGTTACTTATACAAATATCAAATCACGTTTGTTCCGCTCAACTGGCTTTCACCTCTCTGAAAGCAACCCTAGTATTTAAATGGAATTAATGAATCTTAACAACAGCTGTTTCAATTAAACAAGTTGGATCTCTTCTATGATGTTCAATCGCATTTAAGTTACAAGGATTACCAACAGGGTGCAGCACTATTATTTCTTTTACATTTATGACAACAGCTAATTTGCAACCAAAAGGTGAGTGAGCGCAGCGAACGAACTTCAACCTGGAGGCGAGTTAGCGTAGCGAACGAGCTAAACTTAAGGCAGGTGAGCGCATCGAACGAGCTCCAACCTAAAAGTGAGTGAGCGTAGCGAACGAACTAACCTCAAGGCAAGTGAGCGCAGCGAACGAGCTCCAACTTAAAAGTGAGTGAGCGTAGCGAACGAACTTCAACCAGGACGTGATTGAGCCATGCGAACGAGCTCACTTATGAAGTTAAACGGGGCAAAGCCCGTGGGTACAGCTAGTGATCTATAAATATAAAAGGCAAAGCCCTCACTGACTCACTCACTCACTCACTCATCACTAATTCTCTTACTTCCCATTTACCTAGGAGGCTGAAATTTGGTACACTGATTCTTTAGGCATTAAATAGGAAAACTAAGCTGTTTTTATTCTGATCGGACTCTCGGGCTCCGCCCCAGTGGCTCTGGAGTTTCCCATGTTAACCTTATGAGTACTCATATTTAAATGGAATTAATGAATCTTAATAGCTGTTTCAATTAAACAAATTGGTTCTGTTCTATGATGTTCAATAGCATTAAAGTTACAAGGATTACCAACAGAGTGCAGCACTATTATTTCTTTTACATTTATGACAACAGCTAATTTGCAACCAAAAGGTGAGTGAGCGTAGCGAACGAACTTCAACCTGGAGGTGAGTTAGCGTAGCGAACGAGCTAACCTGAAGGCAAGTGAGAGCAGCGAACGAGCTCCAACCTAAAAGTGAGTGAGCGTAGCGAACGAACTTCAACCAGGACGTGATTGAGCCATGCGAACGAGCTCACTTATTAAGTTAAACGGGACAAAGCCCGCGGGTACAGCTAGTTCATAATCAAAATGGCTGATGTTTATGTTGGATTTTATACTCATTTTAGAAGCTGAACAGACACGTCCATTAATGACGATGTAATGAGATTAATTATAGTTGTTTAATCCTCTTATAGGTTAGTTTCGTCATTGACTTTGGATATTGCAAGTACACTTCACCCTGGGGCAGCGAGCTTAGTAGTTGTATTGATAGTCAAAGATAGTGTTTTGAGCGCGGGACTTCGGTTCCAGAGGTCCCGCGTTCAAATCCCGCCAAATCACCAATGGATTTTATCCATGTAATAATGCCCCAACCCCTAGGTCTAGCCTGAAGTAATGTGAATAATGTGCCTAGCGTCCTAGGACGAAAAAATAAGTAAAATAAACCCGTAAAACGAAACCTGTTTTGATGTAGATTTTATGTTCAGTTACGGTACGTTTTAATAAATTGTAAAATCTATACAGGAGTATGTTTAGTTTAGACATTCCACCACATAAGGCTAAGGCTTTGTTTTTTACCTAAAAATTAATCTGTCGAAAAATTGTAGATCCAACGAACATCGGAACACACATTACCTAATCCAAACTATTCTGTACTCTATGTGACCTATGCTAATTTATCAAATGCAATGCGATTTGAATTGTTCAATAATAATTTAATTTTACTAGTTAGTAGACGAGCAAACTATTTGACCGACAGTATACTCGTTTGGTCATTCAAATGTATACATTTATATGACCTATGACTGCTAGTAAATAATTGGGTGTTAAACTATTTGTTAACGTTAAAAATTTCCGTTTGGTTTTAAGAGAGAAAGAAGCACTAAGATTATATACATTTTGGTCTAACAATAGCTACAAGTATGTGATCATATTCCTATAAAGATTACGCGCAAAATATTCCGATAGGCACGATTCTCGTCGATTATAGCATCCAAGAATGGTGGTTTGAAGCGATGGTTGCGATAAGACATGGATGCATCTCTAGATTAAAGATCTTCCTACAGCAATTTGTCCAGCAGCTTATAGCTCATGCTTTGTAGTGCTTTAGGGCCATAATATGTTTTTGGACGATTTGGGTTATTCATCTCTGGTTTAAGAAGACTACTACTACTAGTCGTGTTTTAGGTTGGATCTCCATAAAGCCTTTTAGTTGGTTGATTGTTATTATCTTGAAATTAAAAGTTAGTACCTGCTTTTTGCTTAAGGGCAAGTATGCTTTCGAAAATACTAGAGGTCGTCCAGTGGTCGAAACTCGACCAAAAATATGTAATGTATAGACTTCTCTATTTTCACCCCACGCTGTAAATAAAACATGTGATTTTATTTACAGTGAGCCCCTGAGCCAATGTGCCCCTGAGCCACTGAGCCAATATGCCCCTTAGCCAATGTGCCCTGAGCCACTGAGTCTCAGAGCCAATGTGCCCCTGAGCCAATGTACCACTGAGCCACTGAGTCTTTGAGCCAATGTGCCACTGTGCCACTGAGCCACTGAGCCATTGTGCCACTGAGCCACTGAGTCTTTGAGCCACTGAGCCAATGTGCCCCTTAGCCAATGTGCCCCTGAGCAAATGTGCCACTGAGCCACTGTGCCACTGAGCCACTGACTCTTTGAGCCACTGTGCCACTGAGCCACTGAGTCTTTGAGCCACTGAGCCAATGTGCCCCTTAGCCAATGTGCCCCTGAGCCACTGTGCCACTGAGCCACTGTGCCACTGAGCCACTGACTCTTTGAGCCACTGTGCCACTGAGCCACTGAGTCTTTGAGCCACTGTGCCACTGAGCCACTGAGTCTTTGAGCCACTGAGCCACTGTGCCACTGAGCCACTGTGCCACTGAGCCACTGTGCCACTGAGCCACTGACTCTTTGAGCCACTGTGCCACTGAGCCACTGAGTCTTTGAGCCACTGAGCCAATGTGCCCCTTAGCCAATGTGCCCCTGAGCAAATGTGCCCCTGAGCCAAAGTGCCCCTGAGCCAATGTGCCCCTTAGCCAATGTGCCCCTGAGACACTGAGCCACTGAGCCAATGTGCCCCTTAGCCAATGTGCCCCTTAGCCAATGTGCCCCTGAGACACTGAGCCACTGAGCCAATGTGCCCCTTAGCCAATGTGCCCCTGAGCCAAAGTGCCCCTGAGCCAATGTGCCCCTGAGCCAATGTGCCTCTGAGCCACTGAGTCTTTGAGCCACTGTGCCACTGAGCCACTGCGTCTTTGAGCCACTGTGCCACTGATCCACTGTGCCACTGTGCCACTGAGCCACTGTGCGGCTGTTAGTTGTCAGTTAGGCTTGTCTTCCCCAATTTTTCTATCTTGGCCAATGGCCCGGTCCACGTTCTCTTAGGATACAATGATTTCATGTTCAACAGTGTTCATGCTTATAACATGAAGTGATCCCTATTGATAAACAACCCATTTTGGTTATGAACACGATGAGATTAGCAACATTTTAGTCATCAAGCTAGATTTAACTCCAATAGTATCTTGCAAATCCTTGTAAAGGATTGAACAACGTTAAGAGATGTTTTAATCTGTATTGTAACACTCCTTAGGCAAATAGCCGGACATACTTCATGACAATGATACCAGGACTAGGCCTACTTCTTTGGCCGTAAACTTACATTTTACCACAGAAAACATACTACTATTTTACTCAATAATCTTTTCTGTTGTATGCCACATTCCTAAAAGAATACTATACTAGGAGTACTTTACAGTACCACATAGAAGATGTATGTTACTTGGATCTTTACTCTTATCTGTGACGGCATTATCACTAGTACAACCGAATGAGCCATTGCTAGCTAACTGTTTATAAAATCCTTCACACGTTCATCAATAGATCCATCACATACACGAAGTGTAATTGGAGACCTAGGAAGTTAAAAAAGTCATCAGTTCTTTTGCTTAGGAATCGGACCTGTTCAGATGCATTATTAGAGACAAAATGTTGTCAGAATTTCAAAATTTGTTTAAAATGAAACATACAACTTCTATCATAAGTTTTGACAGACATTGGCAGACTACATCACGTAACAGCTTGGTTAAATTTATGAAAGCCGGCTGATGCAAATAAATGTGAATCTGTATTAAATTTCAGAAAACCTTTTAACTTCAAAATTGTTTAAAGCATGCCAAGATCTTTCATAGCTAAGAGGTCATTTAAGGTCATTTGATTCGTTTGTATGATATTTTGTTATTTTTTTTTTATTAATTTGAAACAAATTATCTTCATCTACATCCTTGTAGTTACCAAACCACATACACTATTAAGTGTTTAATCAAATATTGGATAACATTACCCAATCCAGTTTGATTCATTGGTCTCAAACATTGAAAATCCCACAGAATCTAATCAAGCAAGGACTTCCAAAGCCCAATACAAATCAGATTTTTAATCAACTATCGATTCCTTTAACCCACATTCCAAAACTCGGGTGGGACTTTCGGTCCCCGTATTTACATGCCCGCCCCACCTGTAACCCAATTACGGAACCACTTCCCTCCCATCAATCGAGTTACTAGTTCAATACTGAACGAACAAAACGCACACTTTATGTAAATTAGGCCTAGTTTTGCCATTACTCGTGTTGCGGTAACTACTTCCTGGAACCTTTGCACTTCCTCGACTACTTCTCATACTTCCTACCACTGTAGCAAACTTACATTGGGCCGAGGGAAGGGGAAGGCGGCTCCTCGAGTTCTGAGATCATCACATTTCTGTTTTACACTTTACTACAAACACTCCGCACCAGGGATGTACCTACTCAATACTCAATTCTCCAGAAAGACTCCCTCTCGCGCCGCCAGAACGCTCTGCACAGATCGATGAGTGCGCGCACGCACACTCACCACACCACCACTCCTCAGCTACCCCTGTATGTAACTGGATTATACGTCTAATCTTTCATGCTATCGGCTGTGGTGGACCTTGGTTCAAGAATTTAAATGTAGTAAAGTTCCATGAAGAGTAACAGTTTTTGCGCAACGATGAAATCGAACCTCATGATTCCTGTATGTTTCTTCTACTATTGAGTATTTGCCGGTTGCCTTCACCAAGATGGAGCTATAGAACCGGTATAGTGCATTTCGTACCATAATTTATTCAAAGATAAAATGTACTAACCAAATGACGATAGGAATCGTATTGACACCCCTGTAACTGGATTATTCTAATTTTCAAGATAATGTGATTGGCTGTCATGCGGGTTCAAGACTAGGAATTAAAATGTAGTCCATTTCTAGAAAGAAATTTTAGAAACAAATTTACCCGTCACGAAATTAAATAACCGAAATGTGTAAACTTTGTACGCAATTAGATCCGCCTTAGTACAAGCCCGTTGAGTTGAATATAGTTTATGCTGTTAGAATTCCTTGAAGACAACATGTGTCAACGCTAAAGTTGATTGACCAAACAACGATAACATCTTACGTAACTTGATGATTCCTCTTAACATGCAACGTCGGGTTATTGCTGGTGGTCTTACATTGCGTAAGACCGGGAATTAAATTTACTTCATGTAGAATTCCTTAAAGAGAAACAGTATTAGGCGGATTTGCTTATTTACCAAACGACTGTCGTATTGCTAGCCATGTACGCAAATAGTGACTGTACTATATTTCTGCATTCGATATCGGGGTTCAAAATATGGGGAATTTAAATTTAGTTCTCGATGACAAATTCCTTAAAGAGAAAATATTATGTTGCCGTGGAAGTTGACAAGCCAAACGTATAGATTCAAATAATTGTATTGCTTTACGAAACTTGAGGATTTCTCCAATAATAAATATTGAGTGCAAAATCGTAGAAAATTCAAATGTTATTGCTGTAAAATTTCAAAAGAGGAAATTTAGTAAATGGCGTAGAAAGTAAACTTGAAACCCCTGTTGACCATTCAAAGCTTATTTCTACCCAACATTACGTGGACGATAATTGAATTTTATCTGCGATCACGTGTAAATATTATAACGAATTAAAACGTTTTGTAGTTGGTAAAATATTTGCTTATATTCACATCATGTTCACATACAGTATGTGTTTTACATTTACATTTGGTGGGTCATAAATTTACCAAAAATATTAACAATATTTGTGGCTAGAGAATAAAAGGTTGGCTAAATTAATCAAGTCATTATAATAAAGAGGAAAAGAGGAAAAAAGTATATTCCTTAAAAAAATAGTTTTTCATCATTATAATAAAGAGGAAAAGGGGAAAAAGTATATCCCTTAAAAAAATAGTTTTTCCAAGTCATTTGATGTTTTCGATATCAGGATTTAGAATATAGGTCAACTAGGCACTACTGGACAGCGTTAATGGAGATTCAGTAATTAGCTTTTATTTGAGGGTAAGTCTCATTGTTCTTATTTAAATAAAACAGTTCTAGAGTTCTTCAAATTACACGAAATTGATCTGAAACACCAAAATGTGTTTTACAATAACGAATAAATAGTAATAACAACCTTTTTTTTGGCATACAGACGCTAAAATATTTAAATTACAACTAATAAAATAATTTAAAGCTATTCAAAATGACTACTTATGTATATATTTAACCAATATTTGTTTGATGACAATCGCGTATACCAGTTGTGGATGTTATACGTACATATTATGAAAACACAGCACTTCTTATCAAATAATCCAATGTAAGTAACTTGATACAAATAGATTTTTTTACCTATAGGAAACGATTATTGTCATGCCTTTAAAAACTCACGAAGAAGCAGGACGATGGGATTTGACGTCTGCTTCAAACAATACAAACAACATTAAGAAAATGCTTTCCAACAACAGTTTGCATTTTTTTGTTCCACATAATTATTGTCTTTACTCTTTAAGATACATCATGTGACATTTTCACGTGGTTGTGTGATTTCAAAGTGCTTTCATTGCTACTAAAATACTTTGAAATTAATCAAAACATGTCTACCAATAATTTTAAAACACTTTTGACTGTCCTGTCCGAAAATTAAATACAGAGATACGAATTTTGTTGTAAAAATTCTATAATTTTGTGATGAATTAAGACGAAGGTAAATGAAGAAAGGAAAGAGGAGTCAGGGTCCAAGGAGCGTCAGTAGGCCAAGTAGTTGCCGAGAGAAAGGATGGAATACAGAAGGCTGTTATTTTCTCCGACGTGACGGAAGATATTGTTGATGACACAGCTGAAAAATAATCACAAATCATGCGCTCATGGTCAAATCCAAACCAAACTTTGGCCATTGAATATTGGATACTGAAGTAGACATCTATATGGAACAGCTGTCTAACATTTTTATTAAAAAAGAACATATTTGTCTCAGTAAGTTATGGGCTAGTGTCTAAAATCCTATTTTCTACCTTATTTTTGGTCGATGACGTAGTTGGAGGGGCAAGACAGTTGCTATATCTTACAATCAGTCGTTCTATCAGTTAAACTTAATAAAAATTTTGTGTATTCGACAGAAATCAGCAATTTAGATCAGCACAATCTGTCGGTGGCTCACATCAACTACGATTTTGATTAAAAAAGCTGGCGACAACTGTAACATCGGGATGGGATATCTAGTTTTATCAATAGTCAAAGCTGTTGGCTACGTCTCGAATTAATAAGGACAGTGTATTTTTATTGCCTCGAATATTAGAAGCGAAATGGTGTGGCTCATAAAAATAAACAGATGACTTAATTGGTCGAATTCTAAACTAATAACATTAACATCTTTTGGACAGTTCAATCTATCTATATATTAATAGGCAAGCATGTTTCTTTAAAACCTTTTTTCTCAGCTCGTGTGCATCGTAGGTAAAATCTACGCATACCTTTAGAAAGCTATTTTCCTCTAGGTGTGCAGAATCCCTTTATAAATTTAAATAGGCTCAAAGATAAGCACGAAAAATGAGTTTAAAAATTTGAAAAAATTAACATGGATCTTATGCGTTGCCATGGTGACGAAATAACAACGAAATATAAACAGAAAATCGAAACAAATGGAAGAAACTCCAATCACATGTTTTATTTACAGTGTGGGGTGAAAATAGATAAGTGAGTACAGTACATTAGATATTTTTGGTCGAGTTTCGACCACTGGACGACCTCTCGTTTAAATAATAATGCAAACATGTTTACTCTCGAGCCAGTGACATAATTTGTTCATGTTTATATCGTTTCTATTCTAATATTCATGGGTTACTAATACTATATACAAAATATTAAGATCTGCTTACTGGTTCAGACATGTTAAGAAAACTGAATATTTTCGTAGACACTAAAAATCAGTTGAATATTGTTCTTTGTGGTAATAAATGTGTCAATAATTTTCTTTATTTTGTGTTTTAAGTTTCCAAATTTATGATTTGGTACATTTATTTACTGGTGTGGTAAAATAGTCTATGACTAAAGTGATTTAGATCTATGATGACCTTTTTTAGTTTTCTGTTACGTTTCAAACACTGAAAAACTCCGCATCCATTGGCAGTAGAATACTTTTCAGGAAGGAGACGTGTATTAACCTAACTAAAAAAAATATTATTTTTCACGGTACGAATGCAATAAGCCTTGAAACCCAGGACTTGAGTAAAAAGATCGAATTAGGCTGTGCTGTGTATAACCAACACAGTCGGTAGAATTCGAGAAGTACAATTTGTGATAATTAAATGTAGGTTTCTCCTTGTTCTTCCTAAAGTGTATGAATTGTAATCAAAACTAGTATCGACGAAATACAATTATAGAGAACACGTTGAAAACATTGCTATATAGAATCCTGTTTGTTATTTTTAAATAATGTTAAAGATTTAAATCTTATGGTTTTGTGGACACTAGCGCAAATCGGATCATTTCTGAAACATTATTACAACAAATCGCTACTTGGAGCTCTACGTTTGCTGCCGAGTTAGTAGTGAAAATCGCCGCTTGTAGCGCTAACTGTAACCACCAACCAATACAGCGACATCCAATACAGTACATTGCTGTTCTTATTGTTGAAATCCCAACAATTATTTTTTCATATAAAATAAACGTTCAGCTGGCTTGATGCAATTACTGAATGGATGACAAATATTTGAAGTGACTTCCAATTTCGTTCTCCAGAATACTATTTTAACTACCTCCTGTCTTAAATTGAGGAAGGTCTCTTAGTTATTGATGTTTAGATTATTATTTTGACATTGACAAATGTGAAGGGCAAATATGCTATTTTTCTCGATCAATCTATACAACTTTTGCAGCTCCATCTATATAAAAAAAAACATGAAACCATCCCAGGATGCTTTTACATCCACAAAAAATTACATGAAGCTTTTGCTCACTCTCAAAACATTATCAGGAAGTCATAAATACCTAACAAAATCCAGAGCTCAAGCCATGGTAGTAAAAATTTTCACTTATCCTTTAAACTTTCTTACAAGTTTAACTACTCTGCCAAGCAATACTAAGAAGGATGGATAGACTTTTCGCCTTTTAGCGAATTTCCCTATAGGGAAGTAGCTATTACAGTAGGTCTCATGGTAAGACCTAGGCCCGGGACCAATTTACATTTTAATTTTGATGTCCCCAGAGGCCAATAATACTATCTGGTCAAAATGTTATATATGTATGGGTCTGTGAACACAATAACTCGAGTAATAGTTTTTGTCTGATTTTGATAAAATTTGGCTTGAATGTGTAGGGTGGGATAAACTTGAATGAGTTCGCAAACCAGCATGATCGGATCATGGAAAAGGGGTTTTGTGAGGTAAAAATTGTTTTTTCTAATTTTTGACCCTCAAAACACAAAATTTCACAATTGGTTGTGAAGGAAATTCAAAAAATGTTACATTTAAAATTCCCATGTTATTCCTATGGAGAATATTGTAAACTGTTGTAGTTTGCTTGTTTATGGATATACTAGCTGTTGTACCCAACGGGAAGAGGACACAAAATAGAAACATTTTAATCTTCACATCTGTTGCATATAATAGTTACACATCCACCAATGCTTTTAGAAACAAAATTTAACTTGTATAGCCTTGATAGAAACGTTTAAGTTATGACTTTTAAATCTGGTAAGTAGTGGATACTACCATTTTGGTTTTGATTAATTTTAAATCTTGTGTAGGCAGATATGAGAAAAACTGACCAAATCTTTGAATAAAACTTTGACATACATGATTTACCTTCATCTCCCTTAGTTACATATCTTTTAATTTATTATCAACATTTTATATTTCAATTTTGAAGTTGCAAAAATACTAATTTATTAAATTTAAATTAACATGTTTTTAAAATTTCACTCTTCTTTATATTAAATCACAAATCCTACCATCTTCAAGTTCTTCACTCACAATAAATCATTAGCAAAACTAAGTCAGCTGTTATAAACTTTAGAAATATTGCTGTGCCTTATCAAAACAGTCTTTTGAAATATTAAAGAAATTATATCTATAGGTACTATAAAAAATAAAAAATAAAATAATTTAGCGTTAAAGTCAGCAGACAAATCTAATATGATTATCAAAGCATCAGGGACTAAAAAATGTAATAGCAAATACAGTATATGTTTCATTGCATCTTTGATTCTACTCTGCAAAAAAATCAACAAACTTTCTTTACTTTCTGGATAGCCTGAGTACAACAGATTTAAGAAAACAAAAATCAACGCAATTTAGTTATTGATGATATTCTTTAGTTTACTTTAAGCATAGGTTTAGCAAAACACAATAACTTCATTTACCTAAATACACATATAAAAACAATGTGATGGGCAAGTTATGTTAAGTTAATCTAACACGTGTTAACCAGTTAGAATGTATTTAAAGTAGCCTCCAAATTCATACAAAACATCTATACATTGTAATTTTCATACTGTTTCCATGAAAACATATCAATAACATTATTTTCATAACTTACGCTTTAAAAAATCCAAAGCAGAGCCGGAGTTGATACAGCAACGGTTATAGAATCTTTTTTTCTATAATCATTGACATATTTTTAGAATAAATAATCCATGATAAAAAGGTTAGATTAAAATAAACCTACCTTATGGAAAATATTATATTTAATTTCTTTGTAACAGCTGTCTGAAATTGTGAAATATGCAGTTTAGCAGTTCTTCTTGTTTACATTTAAATGTCAAAGCAAATGTAAACAAACATTGTTAGTGTTCTCATCACAGCCATGGAGACCAATCAATATTTACTTTAAAAATGTTCACCTCAGAACTTTTAAAGCCAAAGGGGCAAAGCCTACGGTCAGTATTGAAATGTGAATAGTCCATTAATGATCCTTGGTAGGGTAATTATATTTTTGTAAAATTTAAGCCCAGTTGGTTAAGTAGTTTTTGCACCTATTAGTAACACACATACAGACAGACACCATTAGATTTTTATATAATAAGTATAGATTTTGACCAAACTTGATAAATTTATTTATTTTAACTAAGCTATTAATATTCTACTAAAAACACCACTCCCTGTAGCAGCAAACTAGTTACTCGTTAAACCCAATGTTATTTAAATAGAATTGAGAATCAAATCAGGCAAATGGAAATTCGCTTGGTCTGTAGGTTTGCTGCAGCCGGGGGTATTTCCTCTATGCAAAGGCAAAGCAAGTCACCTAAGTATCAATCTTGCACTGCAGGCGATTGCAGGCAATTTGCTCTGTCATAAGTTGCAGATTTATGAACCTAGAGGAATCAGGTGTCTCCAGATGCAAGTCAGTGTAGAAGTAGCACAGTTTTGAAGTTTTCTCCATCAACAGTGAGTGTACAGAAGTCAGTTGGTAGGAGGAGTTGGTTAGTGCTTCACCATGGCTGGCTACTCTTGTATTATTGTAAGTACAGTATCACAGTTTTGGGTTGGTTCAAAGTTTTATGAATAAACATTAATTCGAATGATATTATTTTATAATGTATATCCAAAACTTTAATTTAATAAACCCAGTGAATTCAAACCAGAAAAATGAATATACTTTCACTAAAACAATAAAAACAATTAAGCATTTAACAATAAAATATTAACAATCTTGTTGAAATTTCGTTCCAAGCCATAATTTGATATGTAAATACACAATTTGAAAACTAGACCTCAGAGGATATAATCTTTTTGATTACACACTAATATTTAAAAACAATACTGTAAACAAATTGTTTATCAGCCTATTTTTTCAGTAGTATAAACTTCACTAGACAAATGTTAAATAATTTGATTTTCTTTCACTGTAATTTTGGATTATTAACAAACAATCTCTGTGTATAATTTTGGTTCAGAAACATTTCAAGGCAATGAAAAAGTTTTGTTTTACCCTTCATGTATTGCTTTCATTTCAAAGCAATACATGCAATGAAACAGTTATTTAATCTTGTTATGCCAATAATTCAGAAGTTAAGTCTGTATAAATTATTTGGCCTTTGAATTCAAAATATATGTTGCTTGCTTACTTAACAATTTAACATATTACATCACATGCTGCTTTTATTTAGAAACTTCTATACACAGAATATAAATGTAAGAGTCAAGGTATCAAGGTTTTTATAACTACGTGTTTTTAAACAGATAAAGTTTTTTCTCATAAACTACCAGAAGCAAGAGTACGGGCAGCAAAAAGCTTATCATTAACCATAACCCTTATTAGACAATCAAGTTTAACAATGTCCCAATCCCTTAGTTACCCAACCTGTATAAACAGCCTTAGTATCAAAGGTCAACCCCAAGTAGCCATTGAAGAAGACACATGGGGTACCCCACTACAAGTTCAGTAAGCAAATTTAATCTCGCAAAAAGGTATTTATTATACCTTCACTTTCATTTTTTGGGCTGTTCCCATTATTATATCACTATCCATCCAACACTTATGAAATCATAGACTTTGGCAAGGGAACAACAGCATTTCGTTTTAGAAACTAAGACCTAAATATTTAAGTCGTGTAGAATTTAACATTGAATTATATGAACTATTTTCAATTAATGGAATAAGCACAGTTGGCAGCGAATATTTTACTTGAAGAAGAAGAAATTTTAATGTGCATTGCGTAAAACAATGAACAATCTAATCCATTTTTCATGGTACGGCAAAAAGAGGAGTTTCAGAGTATTCTCATTCAGAGAGATCTTCTTCAAGTATTGGGGGTGCTTGGGGTTGAAAACGGATGGGTGGGGACGAACCAGTTCAATCAACTTTGAATCATCCATGAAGGTACACAACTCAAATTCCGTATTATAAATTTGTTTCAGTCATGCGACTGCAGCGACTAGACTGCTCACGGAACAGTCGAGCAGCAACGACTCCAGCCGTGCGGCTATACTCCCTCCAGTCGCACGGCTAGAGTCGTTCAATAGGAATAGACTGCATTTACTTTCCATGGAAGCAGTCACTTTTTATAACTGGGCGGCTACAGTGGTATCAGTCATTGCATAGGAATTGGACATTAATATACAAACAGTCTATTATTAGAGAGAGTTATTATTTTTCAGCTTCGGCCAGCAGCAGGCTGTGTTGTAATTAATTGCTTTTGCTCAACTCTAGCTGAGTATATAACATAAAATATTCCTTATGCATTAAATATTTCATAAATAAAATACAAAATTAAAGCGATTGTTTTCAGATTCTCTTTGCCACACAGTTTGGGATTTCTGCAGTATCAGCCGTATATCATCCAAACCACAGATATAATTTTGAGTCTGAGGTCCTTACAATCGCAAAAAATGAAAGCGGAAATGAATACAAATTCAATCTTAGCATGCTTAACCACATAAATCCATCAAATCAATTCTCAAGTCAGCTAAGAAGCCCACTCAGTAAAGAATCCCCAGAAGAGCAAGCCGATTCAGAAACTGAAGCATCTGAGAGAAAATTCATGATTCATGGTGGTCAGCGGTATTCAAAAATATCCCCAAAAGGCAAACGGAGGTTTGAGAATTTTGTCACGCCAAAGACAGAAGGCTCCAAAAAAGGTTACGAAGTAACAACAAAAAAGTTTGTAGATACTGAACCAGAGAATGATATCACATCTTCGGCTTTAAACGTGGACAATGATGTTGCGATAGCCTTGGATGAAGACATCGATCAAGAAGACGAGGTATGCAAAGCATATTTTGTATGTAACTATGCAAGGTATTTTAAATATGTTTAACACATTTCAAAATTTTCACATTAAAAATAAACATTTAAAGATTGTAAATATATATGAAGGTTTTATATCAGTGATCATGACTTGTAATACTGATCATTATCAGGCCCAATCGGATAGTTTATTAGGTAAAACATAGTGTTATATTGCAACAATAGTCAGTATTCTTACATTTCAAGTTTCTAAAAGATCGTCACTTAGGTAATAACTACTTATGCATCAACCAGGTACGCGTGTGACTGATCCAAAGAACCTTTAAAACCTATGAATAAACTGACATGGACTTAAAATTTTAAAATGTTAATTTAAAATGGATTTTACAGTTTTCACTTTTTGCTTAACGACACATACGGCACAAACAGTAGTTCACAATAGATTGTTTACATTAGGTTTGCATTTGTTGTTGTTGCCTCTTGTAAGTAAGATGTTTGTCTCTTTAAATTCAAATGCAAACACATTTCTTGGATTGGAGAGTCCTAGAAATGAAATTGAGGAAGAAAGACCTTTCACCGTGTGTCCATCGTCACGTTGTCTGATCGCCCTTACAACGATACTACTGTAGGCCTAAATATAGACTAAAATGTTAGTGATAAGAAGATGAAATCTCAAGAAGACCACTGAAGATGCCACATAAGGTGACGAAATGCATATCACAAACATTTCACCTACAACAGCTCAGGCAACAACATCAAATTTACATCCAATACAATTCAAGTTATTAAAACCGAGATAAAAAAATAGATAGTTTGATTTAACTGTAAGATATAAAGTTAGTAAAACAACTAGAACAAATAGAATACATTCAGGTGTCACCGGACATAAAGAATATCCAACAATGAAACCCTTATTGAACCCCTATGAATCCTTATTGTATAAGGATGACAAATAAGGGTTGGTTCTAGGGGAGTTGGTAAGGGAAATGTAATAATATGGGCATTTGATCTATTAAACCGTCTCTACACAAGGCCAGTAGTAGAGCAGGCAAATTATGGGCCGGAAATTTGCCTCTAATATATTTCATGTTACCTAAGGCAAGTAACTAGTCCGCAAACTGTCTTTGTGTGATTATAAATGACAATTATACGGCATAATGCCTTGAATGTGATGAGTAATGTAATGGTTGTACATTTGTAGCCGGAGACCTCGCGTCCTGGGAAGGTGTATCTGGACAGTTATGGCAGACTTCATGGAGGTACCAGTCACAGAGGTCATGGGTTTGGTTATGGAGTCGTACACTCAAAGAAACCTTCACACCACCACACCACTGGGAGAGTCAAGATGCAGGTGACTTAAAGATACTTACTCCTTAGAGTAACGGGTAAGTGTTACCCCCTTCCTTGCTAGAAAATTTTTCTCTTCTTGGACCCCAAACAAACATAGCACCTCTTGAGCCCACCGGACCTATTATTTAAGCGGCCCTGAAGTGTTTCACATTTAAAATGGTGCTTCTTTATCGGTTCTGCAGTCCACACTTTGGAAGTCAATAAAAAAGTGTTAACACACAATGTATAAGGGCTGTACTTAAATTATTAAGTCTCCATTGAGCTCTCCTCACAGACTAGCAAACCAGTTAAATTCTGAGACCAATGTTATGTTCACTTAATTTAATACTCATACTCATAATACTTTTCATTGAAATGGGGACCATACAAAGTAGGTATTTTAAATCCTAGTATGAATGGAGATGAGTGTACGATCTCATCTCCATCAAATGATGGAGACTACAGGAGTGGCATGATCTTATTAGTGACTAAGGCCGACATATTCCTTAGACAAAGCTGTTAATTAATAGCCCATGCAACTAATGACAATTATAGCCCAGTAACTTAAGTTAAAAATCAAGGCCAACAAAGACATGAAAGATGTAAAGCTGATTTTTTGCATGGTGATAGTGTATGATAGGAAGGGTGTTTTCTGAAAGTTCCCCGAATTTCCCCCCCTTGCTTCCCCTTAAAACCCCCCCTCCCCCAAAACACCAGGTTGAAAGTGTAGTGTTTTACTAAATCACCTATATCTTTTTATGTAAACGAGCTATCAGCATAATTATTTTTTCTTTGAACTCCCCGTAAAATTTACTTTAATAAAATAACCTTACATGTAGCATTATCTCTATTGGGTGGGTTTATATCTGTGATATAACAAAAAATATTATTTTTTTTACATAAAATTGTAGATTAGGTCAAACCCTGGTTTTTGCAGTAGGTCGTACGTCAATGTGTTTGAAACAAAACTTTTTACCCATTTTATGAGCTTTCCAAAAATGTATAACAATATATATTTTTAATTTAAGTTGTTACCGAATGAAGCTATTTAAATCCATGCTTCACTTAGCACATCATTCCAAATTGTTCAGTAAATATTACTAAATGATTACTTTTTATTTATTTATTGTTTACACACCCTGTGTGAATGTTTAACAAGCAAAATAAGAACACTGAATTACAAAAATAGTAAGAAAATAAGTACTCACAAGGATTAAAAATTAAGTAATCGGTAGTTATAAGAAAAGGCAAATATATGCTCAACAGGTTTAATTAGCCTACAGTTAAAAAACACTTAAGTAAGGCATAAACAATACAGTACATATCAACTTTCTTTTCCCTCATCATCGTCAGTTCCTTCGTCAATGAAGGGTGGGAGTGAATTTATACAATCAATGCTTTATACAATCATTTAAACAATCAATTTAGTTGTACAAAGTTTAAAAAAAAAAAAAAATTAGTATTTTCTCACCACTTAAAATTTGTAGATCACTTAGCTTATTACCAATAACTTTTAAATGGAGGGAAAATCTACCAAAGTGGATGTGATATTCTGAAAGAGAATACAATTTACTACAAATAACTACCATGCATTTTTTGAAAATTCTTAATAAAGGCAGGCAAAAGCTGGCTACAAATAGAAACTTGAAAACAGAAACTTGAAAAAAGAAACTTTCACCACAAATATTTGATAAAATCACACTTTCATAATTATTTGCAAATCTACATGAATTAGGCTTTCCAATGACCCATTAATTAACAAAATCGGTCTAGTAGAAGTCTAGATTTAGTTGTACAAAGTTTAACGAAAATATCCCTTACTCAGTATTTTATCATTACTATAAATTCAGAGGTTGCTTAGCCTTTTAGCAAATAACTTTTAAATGGTGAGGAAATCCACCAGAGTGGAAGGTGATATTCTGAAAGAGAATAACATTTCCTACAAATTGGTACCATGCACTTTTTGGAAATACTCAAAATAAGTAGCCAAAAGTCGCACCCAAATAAAACGTGTGAAAAACACAGTTTTCAATGTATTTCTTATGGAAAACATTTTTTTTTCACCATAAATCATAACAAAAACAAACTTTCATAATTATTTGCAAATTTACATGAATTAAGCTTTTCAACGACACAATAATTATAAAATAGGTCCAGTAGAACTCTAGATTTAGTTGTACAAATATTTTTAAAACTGAATTATACAGGGTTAGTAAAAAGTGTGGAGACCCCCTGTTATTTTTTTAACGGCCCATACTAGAAAAAATAAACTGGGCACACCTTTATGGCATGTTATGAAGTACTTTTTGGGCATAACCACCACTTGGTGTTCATCCCCAAAATGGGGGATTTTGGGGGAAACTCAAACAACCCTTTAAAAACCACATTTTAAATGTTAAGCCCCATTGAGTGGCCCCTCATTTTGAAGGTCCTGGTCAAAGAAAACTAACAACGCAAACTAGAGGTTTCTATCTCAATCCAGTAAAAAATGGAAGCTGATTGAAATCTTTAGAAATCAGAAATAACTTGCAATTTAATATTAAATTGGCTGCCATATTTTACTGTGTTAAGATAGAGACCTCTAGTTTGCTAGTTTTCTTTTATTATGATCTTCAAAATGAGGGGTCACTCGATGGGGCTTATCATTTAAAGTTTTTGAGTTTCCCCCAAAAATCCCCCATTTTGGGTTTGGTAACCAAGTGGCTATTAGGCTTCAAAAGTACTTCATAACATGCCAAAAAGGTGTGTAGAGTTTAGTTTTCCTAGTGTGAGCCGTTACAAAATTTACAGGGGGTCTCCAGACTTGAAAAGCTGTAAGTTAAATTTAACTTCTGAGAATTTCAATTGGCTGCCATTTTTTACTGGATTGAGGTAGATACCTCTAATTTGCGTTGTTGGCTTTCTTTTACCAGGACCTTCAAAATGAGGGGTCACTCAATGGGGCTTAAAATTTGAAATTTTAGAGTTTCCCCTAAAATCCCCCATTTTGGGGATGATCATCAAGTGGCGGTTATTCCCAAAAAGTACTTCATAACATGCCATAAAGGTGTGCCGAGTTTAGTTTTTTTTAGTATGGGCCGTTAAAAAAATTTACAGGGGGTCTCCACACTTTTTACTTAACCCTGTATATAGAATAGATATTTACTGGACAAGTTGGAATGGTACGCTAAATGCGCTTTGTGGCTGTTTGAAGCATGGATTTAAATGGCTTCATTCGGTAACAATTTAAATTAAAATATATATTGTTATACATTTTTGGAAAGCTCATCAAACAGGTAAAAAGTGTTGTTACATTGACGTACTACCTTCTGCAAAACCGACGTTTGGCTTAATCTACAACTTCACGTTTTAAATAAAATAATATTTATTTTGTATCACATATAAAATCCCACCCAATAGAGATAATGCTACGTGTAAGGTTATTTTATTAAAGTAAATTTAACGGGGAGTTCAAAGAAAAAACAATTATGCTGATAGCTTGTTTACATCAAAAGATATAGGTGATTTAGTTAAACACTACACTTTCAACCTGGTGTTTCGGGGGAGGGGGGGGGGGGTTTAAGGGGAAGCAAGGGGGGGAAATTCAGGGAACTTTCAGAAAACACCTTTCCTATTATATACTATCACCATGCAAAAAATCAGCTTTACATCTTTCATGTCTAGGTTCTTACCTAAAGTGACTGGGCTATTAAGGGACCTACAGTTTTACAGTGGAATGCAAACCACATTTTTGCCTTAGTATTAACAAATTGGTATAATTATCAGGATAGTACTGCAGATAGTCGTAGTACTCACTAGTGCGGACTTAATCCACACCAGGGAATATCGTATCCACATTGCATGCCTATAAATAAATATCCACAAATCGTGACCTCCTAGTAGCTGGATTATAGGACGACGCCACCGTCCCAGTCATCCACTAATACTCAAACCCATCTCCAAGTCACGATTAGTATTGTCATAGTAGACAAAAACGGTGTGATGGAAAATCGATGCTCTGTAATTAGGTTTCTATGGAATGGGAGTCAACTAGTGGTGTAGTAGAGAACAACAAAACGGCGTTCACATCCTACTTTATCCTATAATTTCTTATATGTTGGTCCCTTCTATGGTAATTGTGCACATTCCCACACTGGGCATTTTCTCACCACACCACTGGAGTCAACCGCTATTGAAATCAGTTGCCAGTTGGCAGGTGTGTATGGAGAAACTTGATACAACAAGAAAAATTTACATTAAGTACCGCGGCAGCTTAGGTAATTCAGAGAAGGTTATTTCTTCAGGTATTCCGAGGACCAACAAGGATTGTGGGTCACAAGAAATTCGCCCCGTGGGGATATTTTGTCGTGCAGCCAGCGGACAACGGAGGACCTCATCAGTACCCTGGACCGCCTTACTACTACTGACTCTACAAGGAGTGGAAATCTGCGATAACAACTAAAGTAATAATGAAGAGACATACCATGTTTAAATGGTTGCAGTTGATAGAAGTCTTGCCTGAATGCGAAATAGCCAATCTTGACACGAGTATCACAAAAACTGTTCTCCGTAGCGTTAAAATTTACACAATAAACCAGCTTTTGGATGTGTAAAAAATGTGTTTCTTGTACCAGGATGGCATAAATTAGGGTGTGACTGCTATCTCAAACTAAAAAAAGGTATCAGTTTAAAAATTTCTACAAAATTTTCAGTTGACTTTTGTTTAAGGTGTTAAACAAAAGATTTCTAACCCTGCGCTAGTTTTATTTTTTCAGATATAAAAAGTAAAGTTTTTTAAATGTTCTTGTATTTTCTTTAGGTCCTCCTCCTAATCACTAAAGCTGGGTTTTCCTAGGCATGGAAGCGAAGTGCGGAATACGCTCTCCTCTCGTCTTAGGTACCGGTTTAATGGTACTGTAGCGTAGCGGGTGATCAGACGATTATGATCAGCGGGTGACTGGATGATCAGAAATCGCTTCTCCGCAAATCCACGCTCCGCTTCCGGCCCTAGGAAAACCTAGCTTTAGGAAAACTGCCAAACACACAATTGGGTGTTTATTCAAAGTTGAAAATGAATGCACGTGAGTGTAATGAGTGGTTTAATCTTTGTAGCTTGTTATTGTTTAAGGTCAGCTATTTGTTTATGCAGGACCATTTGATACAATTAGGAATAATAAGGAATATGGAGGAAAGCTGATGGAAAAAAGCTGGGTCCAGTCTCAATCAAACCAACTATAGTCACACAAATAGTGGAATGAAAGATGTATCCACCTTACATAGCAATACGTCAACTATGGAAGGAGAATCATTTTGCAATTTTACATGCGTTGGTTAGTGACGCGTTTTCGTGAAAGCTTTTAACAAAATGATTCAAACATTTCATGACTGTTTAACCAACCTACCTATTAGAAAAACTGACCAGATTTAATCAAAGAGTTTACAAAAGCATAACAATTTCCCACAACACTTTTAACTTGTTAAAGTTATTAATGATGAAATGATTTTAGCTTATATGGTTTTGTTAGTTTCATGAACCATAGGAAATTAATTGTTGCTATATTGGAATAGTTAACATCTCATTAATTTATCAGCGCCGTGGGGAGGACCAGGCATGAACAGAGGAACACACCCTCACCTACCAGCTGTGGCAGGAGAGCTGGGAACAGGAGACTCGGGGACGCTGGACCAGGCGACTGATACAGCAAGTCCAACCTTGGGTTAATCGGCGGTGCGGAGAGGTGGACTTCTACCTCACCTAATTTCTGACGAGTCACGGCTTTTTCCGGTCGTACCTGTTCAGGATAGGCAAAGCCGTGTCACCCGATTGCATATACTGCCCAGGCATTCCCGATAACAACGTGGAACATACCATTTTCCACTGCCAGCGTTGGGAAAGGCCCCGCCTGGAGTCTCAACAGTTAGTAGGACTGCTGTCAGTGGACACGGTCATACCGATGATGACGGAGGGTGAGGACAATTGGACCTGTGTGTCACATTACATCCAGGGTATTCTCCGCGCCAAGAAGCTCGACCTTGACCGGGATGCGGTGTAGGTCCTAAAGTATCTAAATGCCAAAAACGGTGAGAGCCCTGAGGGCTTAGGTCACATGTTGGCCTGACTTGAAGTAATGTGACAAACAATTCCAGGTCTGTGTCCAACAGAGTAAAGGGGGTTTTTTAGTGAGTAGTCTGTGATAGATTCAGGAGTCTCACATTACAGGCTGGCTACCTGTGTGCGTAAAAGCATTTTCCCTCCTCTCCCTTAAAAAAATAAAATAAAAATTTCATTAATTATTGTGGCAGAAGGACTTAGGTGGGAGACAATTGTTTTTCTCTCGCCGCTAAAAATCTTTTGTTTAGCACCTCACTGGAAACATAAGTAGCTAAAGAGGTTTTTGCAACATGCGAACACCATCATTCTCTTTATTTGCTGTTATTTTCAAAAGATTCAACAATATTTGTCTGGTTAAAGCCTGACATAAGTTTGTTGGAGTGTTGCAAGAATCAGCTAATAACCAATATTTCAATTTTAAATACTACCTGTCGTCCGCTGCAGCGAACCTGCATATTTGGTGAGTTTCAATTTGTCTGATTGGATTTTTACTAAAATATCTCCATAAACAAGACATAAGTAGATATGAGAGGATTTTATGGTTATTGAAATTAAATTGATTTGTTATGGTATTTTCTGGTTCATGTGGTGGTATATGTGTGTTGAGGAGGGGGTGCTGAAAATGCTATTTAGAATGAAAATCTAATTTTTTGTTAGTTTCGTGTGATTGGGATGTTATATGTGAATTGAGAGAGATCCTCTCATATCATAACTACTGACACATTTATTCCTAATTTAAATAACATTAGATTTAACTAGTTGTTCTGCCTGTACCTTGCTGCACTGGAAGAGAACGCAGAGAAGATATGGCAGTTTTTCACCTCCTTGTCGAATACAAACTGCTGGTTGATTAAGCACTTGTTCTCTATGTAAATTAATTTTGATGTCCATGTTACAATGGAAAATATTCTACAGTTGCGTTTTTTTTTCTCAGGTGGTACATATAAGGCTCCTTCCACACTCTATGGTTCTTGTCACTCAATAATATACCAACAATTGTCTGTAACATTAATTGATGTGTTTTAAAATTTATAATACTGAACTCAAGGAAAAGTAAACAAACAAACAAAGTTAAAACAAAAACAAATCTAACAGCAGATGTATTTAGAATATGTTAAATGTGATTAGATAAAGCCCTTTGGAGAGGGTTTATCAAAAAACACATATTGTTCAGTAAAGTTTCACATCAAGACCGTTCATTTAAGTATATGCAGATGATAGGAGTGCAGCTTATCGTTTTCTCAAAAGTTAAATTCTTGTTAGCTTTATCGACTAGTTGTTCTACCCATGAGAACACAGAGAAGCAAAAATTATGGTGATTCACCGCCTTGTCCTATGCAAACTGCTGGTTGATTAACCATTGTCCTTTTGAGTTTGGGCATAGACAAAAAGAATTAAATATAGACTGACAGCAGTGCTGCGGTTAGCATAAGTTCTGGCGTCCACCGCTGGGAGCGCCATGTAGTTAAGGCACACACTATACGTGACTACACTGCGCTCCTAGTGGTAGACGCTAAAACTTATGCCAACGGCAGCACTGCTGTTGGTCCATATTTAATTCTATTTGTCTATGGTTCGGTTTACAGCACCGTAATTGACTAATAAAGGCCTTTAATTTGATGTACATAACAACGTTTGCCTACTTAACACTTTCTTCTAACTCCTAGTGGGCCTGATGAGATAGGTCAGCACTGGACAATGTGTTAAAATTATTTTAATGCCCAGTAACTGTGTACCAAGTTTTGAAGCTCTATCTTTGTTAATTTTTGAAAGATTGAAGCGTCCCCCCTGACTTTTTTTCCACCCTATACATAAAAATTTGAACACAAATAGTGTTAAACTCTCTGGGGACATTAAAATGAAAAGTTAAACATTTTAATGACCTGGGCCCAGGTCTTACTGTGCCACCATAATAGCTACTTCCATATACGGAAATTTGCTAAGAGGTATAATAAAAACACTCTGCTATTAAAGATGAAATAGACATTCATTTCCTTGTTAATGTTGTAGTCAGTTTTGTTTTGTAAAACAAGAATTAAATGAATGGAGATTCTGACAAAAATACGTCGCTTTCAATTCAAATGCCGTCTTCTTTCTTACTAACTTTTAATGATGCTAAACCGGATGGGCAACTTAATGCAAACTTTAACTTAGCATCTTTCATGTCCCCATAACTATTATCATTTAACAAAGAACTAGGGAAACAATTTAATACTTTAATACTTTTAATTGAAATGGCACCCATAGGAAGGTAGGTATTTTAAGCCAAGTATGAATGGAGATGAGTGTAGGATGAGTGGCGCAATCTGGTAGTCTTGTTACTGGCTAAGGCCGACTGAACTACAATATAGTAGCATACTTGTTATAGTCTACATAGCTTAAGGCTAGACCTAGGGAATGCCGCAACCTCTAGCCTGAAGTAATGTGAAAAACAATCCCGGGCTCGTGCCTAGCGTCCTTGGACAAAAAAATAAATAAATAAATACATTTCTGGGGTTTGAATCCGGAGCCTCATGGACTCAAGTCTTGATATTCGACAGAAGTTAGTAATTTAGATCAGAGCAATCTGTTGGTGGCTCACATCAAATACAACGATTGATTAAAAACTGGTGACAGCTTTAACATGGGATGGTTTGCCTAGTTGTATTAATAGTCAAAGATTTAATCCTTTAGGTACTCAATAAATGTAAATCGATATTTCAAACTATCAACTACCATTATTCTCCACTGTTCCTATAGAGACCTATTTTCACTTATTTCTTTCCACTTTAGGGAACTAATGTAAAAAGATTAAATGTCAGCTTAGGTATAAAATTGTTGAATGCGAGTTGAATTCCAAATGTTCAAAGTTGGACCAAGTTTTAGAGTAAACTATCTTTTTTTTAGGCATTTATACCTAAAAAGAAAGACTAAAAAAATACCAATGTAAAATAGTGAAACTGAAATAAAAGCGACCTTTGATACTGTCTTGGTATAAAATGTGTATTACAATCACTTAGTAAGTCTAAAAACTTTAGACAAAGTAAGTAAATAATAATAACAAATATTGGTGGTTTGTACCACTTTCCCTTTTGTGGATGAAACAAAAAAATATTTTATTCCCTTTATTCAATGTAGTTTATACTAAACAAAATCCAGGTGTCGGCTTAAACCCCTGAATATATGGATGCAATCTACAAGTGTATGAATCCCTACTTTGTATGGATTGTGCGGTTTACGTTTGCCATTTTGGTCAAATCCTTCCCTTAAATAAACACGTTCAACAATAAATTGTGTATGGTTTTTTTTATTGCAAATACCGTATATACCTAATTATTCTCATAATATAACATTATCAGGTATAGAGTAACAACTTTCACTAACAACACAAACCAAAACCAACGCAGAATTTCAAAATCATTTAATAAACACGTCTCTCTCCTCTCAACATGAGTTGTTATGTTGTCAAAACTAATCCAACACAACTATAACAATTACAGTTTTATAGTTTTTAAAAACAACAGTAAAATTAATACCACAAAAAGTACCTATCTAATTAAGTTAAAACTTTATAAACACAGTAAACGCCATATTGGTAATCCGGAGATACCGTTGAATAAAAGTTGACATCAATATTTCAATTCACGATGCGCAAACTTAGATTGGGAAGGTGCAAAACATCTCGCGCAAGAGGGATAAGTTTCCAAGTTAGCACAAGAAGTGTCCCTTGCTTACTCCTAATGGCATCTCTTTTGGCTGACGTTCAATACAAACCTGAACAAATGGCAACATTAAACCAACTAGTAACACATTTGTGTCCATTTTGGAAATCACATTGAGATAATGCTTTTATTTTCTTTGTAAAGACACTTATTTACTTCTACAAATTTGTATGGAAAAGAAATGCATGTTTATGACCTTTATCATTATTTATTTTACTGAAAGTATAGTTTCTTTAAGTCTTTCTAGCATACTACTTTTAAATTAAAATTAAATATTTTAAGGAACTAGGGTTTTAAGAGTTGTTAAAGTGTAAAAAAGGTTTAGGAAGTTTAAATTGACTAGGTGGATGAGAAGGTTATAGTGCTCACCTAACAATCGATTAATCGATAGGTCACCAGTTCGATCCTGAACATAAAGAGCTATAATTTGATGGTTTGAAACTGGACCCAGCTGTCCCTGAATTGGGCTTTAAGTCCTGGTAAAAGGACTTACAAGTAAAAGTATAGTAAAAAAGCTACAAAGATCATCTCCATCCATTTCACACTCATCCTTTACTAATATTCGGGTTAAAATACACACCTAGTCTCCATCTCAATTGATTGATAACACTAAATGGGAACATGGTTATCTTTTTTCAAAGGTTTGATATTTGAACCCTTGATATTTGCAAAGTGCTACATTTGAACCCTAGATTTATTTAAAGTATATATGCATAACAAAAACAAATGTACACTTATACATAAATGTATTCATAGACTCGCAGATCATCCATATATTCAAAGGCTTCAACGGAACTTGGATTTGTTCGGGGAAATCATTTACAAGGAAACCTTAAAGGAAGGTGAAACATTTCCTTTTCATCCAACTTGGTTTAGATAATTTAGAATTGCAAAGATTATTTTATAAACTGCTAATACAAAACATGTATAAACACAGAGTGCTAAATAAGCAATACCCCTGTCAAAGCAAAACTGCAGACTAAGTCAATTTAAGTTTGTCTAATTTCAACAAAAATATTTCCATACAAGGCATATTTATTCCCCATTTAACAAGCATTCGGGTTTGCTGCTACGGGGAAAGAGATAAGTGTTTTATTTTTATTTTAATGGGACTATGGGATGAGATAAATCAAACTGCTAAATTTGATGAAAATATATCCACAAACAAACAACAGTTTTCACTTCCTCTATAGGAAGAACGTGGGAATTTAAAACTACAGATCGTAAAAAAATCCTCCATTACCTTTAATGCTACAACCAAAAAGGCCCAAGTAAATATATAATTTTTTTTAAGGGTCATTTAACTGTGAAGACTTATTGCGCCCATTCTTATATAAATGTGGTAGGAGTAAAAAAGCTTTGAACTGTGGTATGTTTTGCACTGTAATTCATTATAAAGCTTCACCTAAAGCTATTTATTGCAAAACCTTGATAAGGCTTGTATCTATCATCAAAAGCAAACAGCCCTGAATAAACATGCGGATGCGAGGCCATTGGATCAAAGTGATCTGTTAAAATTCTAAGTAAGTATTCCTTTGATACTAACATTATTAAAACTTTGCATGGAGTTCTCAATGTCCCGAACTTCTTTACTTTTAATCAATATTCGTGTTGTGTATTGGATACTTATCTAAACATGGTGATTTTTGATGCTACATTTTTCCAGGTGAATATTTTTATATCGCTTTCAAACCCTAACCATAGGTCACTTTACTTGTTCTATTTTGTTTAACATTTTTACTTTGTCCACCATACTATATGGCGAAAGTATTGTTTTCATCAAAATTTTCAATATGAGTTTTGACTGGATTTATGGACGGAAAAATGTAATCTTCTCAAAAATAGCCCTAACGATTTTGATAAAAATTTAGTATATTGTAGCCCTTTAAATTCTGAACCATAAGGTAGAACTCCCATTCTGGTAAAAATTACGGTTGAAAAGTTATTGTAAACTATGTAACTTTCCCATTAAAAAACCATAAATAACAAAAAAATTGATTTTAGGAAAAAAGCTGGTCATGATCAAAATTAATTTGTTGTGGTGCTTATAATTCTAAATAAAATTCTCATAGCTGTAACAATTATGGTTTAGATGTTATTGCAACTTTTGTAATTTTTGCCTTTACCTAAAATATCATAGTTTACTCCCATAGCTTGCCCGCGATAAACGTTGTTGAAAAGGTAATGGGAGAAAGTATGTATCAGAATGCTGAAACCGTTTATTTTATTTTTTGCACATACTTGTTGAATAAAAAAAAATAAAATTTTGCTTATGTTAAATGACACACTTGTGCTGAAAACTTCTTTTATGTATGTTGAAAACTAAAATTATGTTTTTGTGCTGACCACTACTATTATGTTGTGTTTTTCAAACTATTGTGTAATTATAAATGTGAACTTATAGTTGATTACGTTGAGAATGATTACATAAGACAACACTTGAGTAGCCTATAAAAATCCCTGTTTCAATAAAAATTATTTGAAAAAATTAACAACTAAATACATTTCATTATTATGTCAAACAATTTAATGGTAAAAAAAGTCTCTTATTATAAGGTAAAATTCTGTTATAAAGCACAGAAATTAATTTTGTTAGTGGATACATGGAAAACCAACGGATGACTTAGGGAACTGCTTTTACACCACTACAATATTTATGGAAAGGGAGAAACAAATGCGCTGCGGTCACTTGAGGTCGGGCAATGGTGTTTAGCAACTTTGAATGTAGGTAATAAATTTTGTGTAATTGTTCCCGCTCAGAAAATTATAATGGTATTATTGCCTTAGAGTTGTAAAGTTGAAAAGGTTAGTGCTTTGTTCTTTTACCTGATATCTATAAAATGGATGTACTCTTTAAAAGAATGTACTTCCTTTATCTTATCTTTTATACACTGTTTTTTATTCTATTACATTTAGTTTATTTTTTAGACGTATTCGGGATATGTAAAGACAAAGAAGGCGTGCTTAATTTATTGGACATTAAAATTCTGAAATCTAGCTAACAAAATTAGGAAAAATATCCTACAAAATCTACTGAGGTACCCAGACACAAAATGAAAGTGGGATTATGTGATGAAACTATTTACATGGTTCGGTAAGAAAACAGTAATCTGGACGCTAATTTACAACAATTATTTACAATTTTTTAAAAACTTATAAGTACTTAGGAACTAAGCTCGTTAGAGAGACTTTCAAAGAAGAGTGGCAACACTATTAAAATTTACCGTATGAGATTTAGGCTAGGTTAGGTCAGGTTATTAGGTTAGTTTGGGTCAGGCTAAGTCAGGTTAGGCTGGATTAGGTCAGCTTAGGTCAGGTCAGGTTAGGTTAGCTTAAGTCAGATCAGGTTGGGTTGGATGTGTTTAGGTTAGATTGGCTTAATTAAGGTTATAGGTTAGTTTACATCACCTTCATTTGCATAGGGTAAATTTTAATAAAGAGTCTTCTAAAGGCTCTTCTTGTAAAAACCCACATAAAATCCTATACAAAACGTTAATTTAAAATTGAAATTTAGTCCATCACCTCAACAATTTGTACTCATCACTTCCATTTCTCAGTCTTATGTTTGTTCGTGGATATCAGAGTTGGGTAGACGTCTCCAGAAACCTCTTGGAAGGAGGGTCAACCAATAGTCAATGTCACGAGCGAAGGTAGCAATAGTTGACTTTGGTGATGCAAGGACTCAGAGCGAAGCAAGCGAACAGAAGTATAATGGCTGCCACCAGCAAAAACACTGACCAAGATATCTTGCAGTTTCCTGTAAAATAAATTAGTATTCTTGTTAGCTAGATGATTTATCAAGTTATATAGGTTATATTATTCTAGTAATTATAGATTATATATTCTTCAGCATGTATGCAATTGTTACAACAATAGAACAAGGGTAGAGAATACATGATGTTAGAGTAAGATTGTTTAATGTAAGCTCGCCTGGTGAATGGAAGTTTCCAGGATTATGGTAGTTAAGTAAAGCAGTAGTAAAGTAGGTTGGTGACACTTACCCAATGTATACATGTGTACTGAAGGTCCACAACAGTCTCGCATCTCCTTGTTGTCCCAACCCAGTGGATAGACAATCAAACCACTTCCCACAAGCACACCTGGTGAACAGGGAAATCATTGTAATCTGGGATACATCAAGGGGTACAACAGTAAGATAGATTCGTGGATTCCGGTGACAAGTTAAACTCAACGAAACACTATTCACCGACGTTTTGTCCTCGATGCAGAGTGCCACCCTCATGGTCACTTACTAGATCACAAGTAGCCACACAGGGTTGAAGGTGTTGGAAAATGGTAAAAGGATGTGAAAAAGCAAGGCCACACAAGTCAAGTCACCCTGAGGGTGCCATTCTTCGAGACCAAAATGTCAATGTAGATTATATTTTTTTGCTACGCTAAAACACAGTTATTGCCCGAAGACCAGGAATCCAAAAATATGTGACCTTGGAAGTCTATTCAGTAAGAATAAAGCATTATGTTCATATTTGTCAATAGCTGACTGGGTAGTGTGGTGATTGTCTGCAAATCTGAGAGTTTGATTCCAGGTGGGATAAATTGTGGACCTAACGTAGATCTACTTCTTATTGGGCTTAATTTAAAGGCAAATTCTAGAACAAGGTTTAGTCTGGTTCCTTTACAAAACAGTTAAAAAATTCTAAATGGCATGGAAAATTCACAAATAGTAAAATGCCCTGAGAAGCAACTATGTCAAAAATATTGGCAAAAAGAAAACATCTACGTCTCCTTGAACGTTCAATAAATTTAATTTGAAAAAACTACAAGATTAAAGAAAAAAAAAAACAAAGTAAAAAACTTTAATTTCTCGTTTTGTGTTATCTACAATATGAAAGGAATCTGGGAGGATCAACAAGTGCATGGAATAATTAGGAAATTCCATCTGTAGAACAGTTTCGTTGCTGATTTGTCTAAACAGGTAAGTGTTGTTTGGCACACCTTTTATTTTAATTGTGAAAAAATGTTTAAAGTATGGACCTAAACCCATTGTATAACGACAACTTATAAAAACCTACAACCTGCAACGAGTTGTAAGCTACACGCCATTCTTGCAGTTGCAGAGTGGATGATGTAATCAAAACAGCATGCTGTAATAGCCATCACAGCCACTATTGTAGCCATCACACAACCCAGGAGTATCAACACTGTACTGGCCTGCCACCAACTGCTTGGAATGTCTCTCCATCTATAACACAACACAACAGACTGTAATACCTGTAGAAATAAATTTAAAAAAATAATTCTAAAACTAATGTACCTGTTGCTCGAATTCGAGCAATTGCTAAGTATTACAGGCGTTATTTTAAAACAAATAACAGTCATAATTTCTGATGACTTTAAAATATTCGATTAAAAGAAATATATTTCCATTTCCATTTCGTTTTGTCATGAGAGCCGAAGCCCCCTGACTGCATACCCGGTACCTATCCTTTAGGACATACCCGGGCCCCATGATGTAGGCCAAAGCTTACGCATCAACCTTTAGCACATCATGGGCAGATGACTTAAGGTCATCAGGCTCGCCGGCTGCCGAAGCAGACCCTTCGGAAGGAGGGTTGCCCCTCAATCCTAACCAGGGATTCCGGCTGCTTGTTTAAGCGTTACTCCACCTGGGTTCCACTAGGTCGAGACCTAGAGGTCCATGGTAGAGCGCCCCGACGCATTTAGTGCAAGCAACACTCGGGACCTATCTAATCCCTGACAGGCAGAACCCGCCATCAATAGCCAGGAGGAAGGGGACCGTCAGCACGCATTTACACCGCTGCCCGATCGAGGCCTTACCCATTGCTGGGAAACCAGAGATAACCAGAGCGATAGATCCCCAGATACCCCTGGCGGGCTCGGACCCAGCACCCGATCTACTTCGTTTGCCCGTCAGACCCAACATCACTGCCAGGCCATCAGGGTTTCCCAAAAGGAGGCAGGTATAGAAGTGGGACCCACCCGGATGAACCTATCCACCAGAGGTGGCGACACCCTTGACTCAATTGAGGTTCCGGGAAGAACCCCCCACACTCAAGATAACCATACCGTCCGTGCTCAGAGACAGGGATTGGTTTGCATAAGTACCTACAAACCGTTGCCCTCACACTGCGGAAAGTTACGTTGCCCTTGAGTGTCCCCGTGAGCTGCGGGTACTTGCCCGTTTTCACCTCCAGGAAAGGTTACTTCCAAAGTCGAGGATTTGCCCACTGAATGCTGGTCGCACACAACAAGCAGGCCGAAGCCCAAAGAACCACAGACACAGGTAGGTTAGAGATTATGATGTACTTCCATCTCTCCTAGAGCTAAACACCCCTCCATCCTGGATAAAGGAATGTCACTGGGACCCAATGCCCAGTCGTCCATGTCTGTGGCCTACTTGAAAATGCCGATACCAACACGGAGCATTTACCTCCCCTCTGGGGGCTAGGTATTTCACCTCCCAGGACGAGGCTACTTCCAAAGTCGAGGATATGCCTCACAAAATGTCAGTCGTACACTACAGGTAGGACTCAGTCACAACCACAAGCTACAGGCAGGTGAAAGATCTATGAACTTAATCAACACTAGCAGAGCTGAACACCCCACCACCCTGAATGGAGGGAATGTCACTGGGTACTCTCACTTTGGGAACAACCCAAAGAGGCTGGCTTGTCCAGTCGTCCATAGCTTGTGGTCTACCTGAAGTGCCGGTTCCAACACCGGGCAATTACCTCCCCTCTGGGAGAGCTAGGGTCCGCGTGGTCGCCCAGGCCACGAACCCACGCAAGCGTGGGCCCCCTGCGGTGGCCCATTATGTTAAAAGAAATATATTATGGAATTACTCAAGATGTACATAACAGATCGATATAATCAACATTTATTGTGTATAGTGTTTTCTACAAATAGCCTTACTCATAGCCGCATTAGGTTTCCAGACACATTTTGTGTCCAAAAGCCTAACAGCACGACTCCCTTCCCCATACCGCCTTGAGCGACAGGGATCCTTTGAGATTCGCTCTAAACCTTTCCTCTCTCATTCATGGGCAAGTTTTCAATCCTGTTTCTTTCTTAGTTTTATTTATTTATTTTTTTTTTATTTTAACGCCTGTATGTATTCCTGGGTTTTCCTATTACCCTAGCTACTTTTCTAAATGTCTCAATTGTTTCCTAATCACTCATCATGTTTTTTTCCCATCTCTAGACCTATATTATCCAAGACTTATTCCTGTTCTTTTGTATTTGTCTCCTGAAGTGAACAATTTATAAATATGTGACTCGTGGTTTTTATTTCTCCACATCTACTTACTTCCTCTTCCACCATGTGAAATCTTCACAAATTCGCCTTGAAATTTTCCATGTCCTGTTACAAACTGTGTTTTATAATGACCCATCTCCCAATCTTGTTCCAGTCTATTTCTGATGTTAGGTATACATCCATAAAACACTCTGCTCCCAACGCATTTGCCACTCATCTAATATCTCATCCTCTCTTCTGTTTTTGATGTAGTCCTCCCATGTGGAAAAAAATTTTCTGGGCCAGTAAAAAAATTTTCTGGCCCAGGTTCTGGGCACTTCCAAAATTGGCAAGAACTGGCCAGTACTGGCCAGAACCTGGGAAGTACTGGGCCAGAACCTGGGAAGTACTGGGCCAGAACCTGGGCAGTACTGGCCAGAACCTGGGCATTACTGGGCCAGAACCTGGGCAGTACTGGGCCAGAACCTGGGCAGTACTGGGCCAGAACCTGGGCAGTACTGGGCCAGAACCTGGGTAGTACTGGGCCAGAACCTGGGAAGGACTGGACCAGAACCTGGGCATTACTGGACCAGAACCTGGGCAGTACTGGGCCAGAACCTGGCCAATACTGGACCAGTATCTGGATCATACAGTAGTGAGAATTGAACCAATATGGAAGATGAATTAATAAGACACCTTTAGCAATAAACAATTTGTATTTGAAAATTACATATGCTAAAATACAAATTATGTTAACAAAAATCAAGGTTAGGTAATAAATTATTTTTTTGCAAAATTACAATAAAAGTTGTATGAAAAAGTAAAATCACCAAAAAGAATACTATTGATAATACCCTACAATACTAAATTTAATTTTATATTGAAAATGTAAAAAATTAAACAATCAAAATGTTCAATGAATCTAATTTGTCGGGGTTATAATTATTAATCAAATTAATAATGTCAGATTTATAGTATTAACACAATGGTCTTTAGAATATAAATGTAGTACAGTAGTTGTCATAAAGTTTTTTTTACCTGAAACAGACAAGTTACAACTATAAAAAATGGTGAGCTGATGTAAGTATATTTGTATCTCCAGAGCTCAGCTTGGCCTTTATGTTGGGTTGTCTTTAAGTTTGGGCTAATTCGCTTTCAATGTACATGTGCAGACTTGAACAACTCCATTATTTTTAATGTATAGCCGCATAAGCTGCGCAGTTCCTAATGCGGGCTAGGCTAGATTTATATTGAATAGAAATGAGATTGTACATATCTCAATAATCAAATTAAAACTTGATTTTGTAAAATAACCTGGCAATAGGCCTACACCATTTAGAATCAATATAGGACCTAATAGGTAATCTAGTTTTATCCCAATTCAGGTTAACTTAAGCGGCCATCTTAAAATTTTACTGTAATAGGCTACGTAACTTATATAAGTATAATGAAAAATCATTTCAAAGGCCATAAATAAAGTTAAATAGGTAGGCCTACTTAAATACTCAGTTATAGGGACTTAAAATAAAAAGACTAAAAAAAAAATGTTATAGCCTATCTTTCTTGTTACCGTACTTTTTTCATGTTGGCACTTCCAAGGGTGCAGTTCCGTAGAGAACCTACTATATTCTGTAGTTATATTGTATCGGATGAGTTTGCTTTCATGTAAATATCCATTGTAACAATTGTATCAATATTGTTGTTTCAAGAAGACTTTTTCCACACATTCTGCGGCGGTTAGGTTGTTTTAGTTTAGTTTATGATAGTAGCAATCAAAGTAAAATTGTTGGTAGGTATTAGAGTTGATATTACATTGGTTTGTTTAACAGATTACAATCACAAAGACATCAATTTGTAGGCCTATTCATATAGTTTTTTAATAAGTTTCATAAACTAAACTAGGTAGGTAACCTAACCTAAACGCCATAACTTACTGTAAACGAAAATCAATATTGAAATTCAATATTTATATCGATTGAAACATGTTAATCGATAGTTAGGCCTAAGTTATATCGAAGTAGACTATTTTAATATTTAATCCGTTAATGTAACCCATCATGGGTTCTCTGCCTTAGGCCTACCTTAGCACTTAAGCTAAGACCTATTTATCATATTATTTACATAATCAGGGCTAACTTAGTAGGCTTCTTATTATAAAATACAACAGCAAACATAACCAAACATCAAGTTAAGTTAAGTTAGTCCGGCCTAAGATAACTTACTTAACGAAACAATCTGTGAATAAAAATAGCCGCCCATTCAAATGAAAAACAATGTTTTTGTGTAGGCTCTAACTTATTCATTAGGTAGTTTTGCATTTTGATGTTTAAGCCTAAGTTACTTTTGATCTAGGCATAAGTTAAGTAGGCGGGTACAGTTTCTTAACTGGGCTATGCTAATATTGATTGAAACTATCGATTCGATTAGTAAGCCTTCATGCGATTTTTTCACCATCAGCAAGTTTGGTTGGTTAGGTTAGGTCATGATAGTTTAATTATAAAATAGGCCTAGATATATTTCAAAATCGATTATTAATCAATATTTTCCATTTGATAGTTTCAATCGGAAACTGTACCCAAATGTAGCCCCAAACGGAACCTACGCTGAACAAAAGTTAGGCTACCGGTACTAAAAATTGACTTAATTGCAATCGAATCTCATCATTAATTTACAAATCCAATCAAGGTTTGCTTTACTTGTAGGCCTAGTCATAGGCCTAGGCTATCAAGGCCTAAACTTACCGTACCGGTACACAATTTGTGAGATCAAATAATGAAGTAACATACTGACTAAATACTTCACAACTCCAAATTTAACACTTCAATGAGTAGAAAATCGTTAAAATTGGAACTAGGCCTAGGCTAGTTTATTTTGTTGCACTGAATAAGGTAGGCCTAAGTTAAAGTTTACCTAGGCCTATACTAGGTACTGGACACATAAAAACTAAACCTAACAGCCACCTCAACATTAAGGCATATTATGAGTTTAATGTGACAACTTAATAATATGACACTTATGCTAACCTGTGGTGCATTACTTACAACTTTTTGCTAAAATGAGGCCTGTGAACTCAGTTGTCTATAAACCTGATGGTTTGCCAAGTTCGACCTGATTCTTTGTCGATAATCCATTCTGATTCCACACGAATAGATATTTTTCACAGCAAATTAGGTAGAACGTTGTTCTACGATTAATATTAAGATATAACTAAGACAAGAACACCTTAGTTAGAAATTAACTGTTAATAAAGATGTCGAGACCAAAACTGAACTGACCAACTGACAGGTTGAGATTTGAGGTTAGTTAGTAACAACTCCGCTCCGCTCCGGCGTGCGTCACGTTGGATTGGATCGGATTTGATTTTGGAATGGAATGGAACTCGTACAAAAAAAAAATAGTTATCTTCGTCTTTGCTCTTCTCACTTCTGTCTTGTCCTCGTCTTAATTATTGTCCTCTTGTGTTAGATTTTTGTTGGCGATGCGTTGAGCTTAAAAAAACGTTAAATTGTGTATTCGTATTCATTGGTCAAAGGTCAAAGCCATTGCCAAACCCAAACCTTCAATTGGACTAACTGGACTGGATCCAAATCCAGAGAGGTTTAAAACCATGGTGGGGGGGGGGGGGAGCGAGTTCAAGTTGAGTCAATATTATTGATGGTAACAGTTTTTACCCTTGATAATTATCTAAACATGTAGGCCTATAAATTTTGTCTTGCTTTAAACTTAATTTTTCAATAAATATAGGTTTAACTAATTGACTAGTTTTTACTTCAAATATCTGCATTTTATTACCTTAACCTCGGTTCCTTTATTTACATACTGTACTCTGTCAAGATTGATTATTGGTCTAGAATCTACAAGTACTAGCCAGTTACTGGTAAGTTCTGGCCAGTACTGGCAAGTTCTGGCCAGTACGGGTGAGTTCTGGCCAGTACTGGTGAGTTCTGGCCAGTACTGGCCGGTTCTGGTCCAGGTTCTAACCAGTACTGGCCAGGACCTGGACATTACTGGCCAGGACCTGGACATTACTGGCCAGAACCTGGACATTACTGGCCAGAACCTGGACATTACTGGCCAGAACCTGGGAAGTACTGGCCAGAACCTGGGCAGTACTGGCCAGAACCTGGGAAGTACTGGGCCAGAACCTGGGCAGTACTGGCCAGAACCTGGGCAGTACTGGCCAGAACCTGGGCAGTACTGGACAGAACCTGGGTATTACTGGCCAGTACTGTAGCCGTACTGGCCAGTACTGTACCAGTACTGGCCAGAACCTGGGCCAGAATTAGATTTCTACATGGGCTACCCGCCTCCTCGTGTTCAAAAATCCACAGCTTATGCAGCGATTATCCAACAGTCCTAAACTGAATGTGAAATCTTCAGGCGGCTGTTGGAGAGCACACTTAAACCCAACATGGAAGGGTGCTTGCTATGTATTCGACTATCAACGACAATAGTGGTATTATTTGCATTTCGTTCTCGTCTACGAGTTAAAGTTCGTCGGTCAACGTCTTAGTCTCCATTATGTTGAACGTTTTTTTGATATGTTTTTATTTTGTGCAAAATTTTAGTATAACCAGCTGTTTCAAATATTAGTTTCAATTTCAAAGTATTCATCTGTTCAAATGAAAACAAACATTTTCTCCATAAGAATAACATGGGAACTTTGAAGGCCACTGGGGCAGAGCCCTGATGGAATTCCAAAGTTATTTTGTTTGATGGCAAAACTACATGCTAAGACCTCTCTAACGACACCTTAGACATGGTGATCGGTAGCTGCACCACTCCAAAACAATTATGACAAAAATATGCCTAGCGTAAAAAATTCAAGTACAGCCTGCTGTTACTGCAAATGTCATGTCAATAAATCATTTGCTCTTACTGTAATTATGATTTCCAGGCTATTTTCATAGTACATTATCTTTCATCCAGGCAATATAGTTCTTTAACACAAAATCAAGAAAAATATTTTTTAACATATAGGTAAAAACAAAATTGAGTTTTATATTATTCTACATTTAATTTCATTTGGTAAATGAATAGACTGTAATGTAATAAAATAATAACTATGTTTAATTTATTGTTTCCACTTAAAGTCATGTAGAACAATAAATTAATCTGTTATGTGACAAGATATTGTACCTGGAATATCTGGCACACTGCATCACGATCTCAACTGCACCTTGGGGAGTAACCATGCGGGGGTAGTTGCAGCGACGGAAGCTGTTGAAGTATGCATCCACCCTCCCCAGTATTCTACCCTATAACACGTAACCAGCTTTAGCAACTGTATTGAAGCTGTTGAAGTATGCATCCACCCTCCCCAGTATTCTACCCTATAACACGTAACCAGCTTTAGCAACTGTATTGAAGCTGTTGAAGTATGCATCCACCCTCCCCAGTATTCTACCCTCTATAACACGTAACCAGCTTTAGCAACTGTATTGAAGCTGTTGAAGTATGCATCCACCCTCCCCAGTATTCTACCCTATAACACGTAACCAGCTTTAGCAACTGTATTGAAGCTGTTGAAGTATGCATCCACCCTCCCTGTTGATGATGACACTTGGACACTGTTACCTAGGATAGATATCGATTTCGAGATAGTTGATATACTCCAGTGCCATTAACGCTACAAAGGAACCTGTTATTTGGAATGATGATACTACTTTGACACAGTTACCTATTCTATATTGACATAGTTGATATACTCCAATGCCATTAACGTTACAAAGGAACCTGTTATTTGGCATGATGCTACTTTGACACAGTTACCTAGGCTATAAATATAGACATAGTTGATATACTCCAGTGCCATTAACGCTACAAAGGAACCTGTTATTTGGAATGATGATACTTTGACACAGTTACCTATTCTATATTGATATAGTTGATATACTCCAATGCCATTATAACGTTACAAAGGAACATGTTATTTGGCATGATGCTACTTTGACACAGTTACTTAGGCTATAAATATAGACATAGTTGATATACTCCAGTGCCAGTATCGTTACAAAGGAATCTGTTATTTATTGGTATGATAATACTTTTACACAGTTACCTAAGACAGATATCGACATAGTTGATACTCCAGTGTTTTTACGAAAGAACCTGTTATTTGGATTGGTGATACTTTAAAACTGTTACCTTAGGATAGATATCGACATAGTTGATATACTTCAGTGTTATTACAAAGGAACCTGTTATTTGGCACTTTGCCACTCTTAGTTCATCAAGACCACCCTTCTCGTTATGATCTCATAAATAATGAAAACGATCTTGTTTTCCACAACCAGATTTCTCCGATTTTACATTTATATCTAACCAGTTAGGCCTACATTAATTACTTGTCAAATATAATTCCTACCAACAGCCACACTACCGATAAACCATTTTTCCTGCAATGGGAAAAAGTTCACTGAACTGTTTGAAGAGTTAATACAGTATTATTCGTTTACTATCCGATACAATAACATTGGTTTCCAAGAATATCAATGAACCTAATACAAACCATATTATGAAACTAATGGAGACAATGTACGTACAACGCAACCAAATGGCTCTCAGTCCACCTTGAGCTGTAGGATGCACTTATCAATTGGTGATAATTTATCATAAAAAATATTATATTCTCTGTACTTGAATAATTCCTTCACTATAATAGTTCTTCCCTGTTCTTCTTTTAGTGGTACTACTATAGCCTAAGTGTATTGTGTTCTACTTATTTATTGCAAAATGTAATAACTTACCTGTACCCAGAAGGGAAGATAGAAGCCAGAACAAGCCAAGATTGCCGCTGCTAATGAAAGCAGAGCCCAGAAGTACCCTGGTCCTGTTAACGTCCCCATCCTATCACACTTAGAAATAAGTAAGAAACATCTTCGACTTACTACAAAATTACAACTTATCCAAATTTATGTCGCGATGCTATTTTGTATTTACATAAAGGTAACATTATTTCAACCATAGGACGAATTTCATATGAATGTTGTTTACAATTGACTTTCACATATATGTAAGGAAACAGCCTTAGCAACAAAGGTACACAAGGCTCACCAATTTAACACTCATTTTTTCATTAATAGCTTAAATTTTTTTCGAGTTGCATTTCAATCTCATTCATTACATAAATGGAATGAAATAAACCAACAGATAGTAAGGGTAACCGTGTGTTATTAGAGCACTCGCAATCTTTTACAAAATAAATAAATTGCACACGTTCAGAAAAATTAGGTCCAAACACAATCGAATGAATAAAGTAAGTATTCTGTTATTAGTTTTTGTAGTGGTTGTTCATAAGGCATTTTTAACATTAAAATTATCCGTACAAAGCCGTTGGGCTTCTGGAAAATAAACCAATAGGTGACTCGGTGCAGTAAAACAATTAACTGTATATTGATAGATATAAGTGGCAACACCAGTGCTTTCGACGAAGCCACTGGCTGAGCCTCCGACTCACCGACTTAGCCACCGACTGAGCAACCGACTTAGCCACCGACTTAGCCACCGACTTAGCCACTAACTTTGCCACCGACTGAGCAACCGACTTAGCCACTGACTTAGCTACCAACTGAGCATCGGCTTAGCCACCAACTTAGCCACCAACTGAGCATCGACTTAGCCACTGACTTAGCCACCAACTGAGCATCGACTTAGCCACTGACTTAGCTACCAACTGAGCATCGACTTAGCCACTGACTTAGCCACCAACTGAGCATCGACTTAGCCACTGACTTAGCCACCAACTGAGCATCGACTTAGCCACTGACTTAGCCACCGACCAACAGCCCACGTCCTCCATGTTTGAAACACGTTGAACACAATAATATTCTTCGTATTGAAATATTAAAACATTTTTTTTGTACGAAAGTACTAAACTAAATATACAACAATCACAATGTGAAATCAATAAAAAACGTTTTTGAAGAAAATCTTGGTGTGTAATAGCACAAACAAGTTTAATTACCAAATGTAATACATAATGGTAAAGTGATTGCGGTGCGGTTTTAATCAATCAGTGAAGGTAAAAAGTGATTACACCCACACGAGGACGTCAAAGAGTGGCACAGCAGTGAAATTAACATTACTGCCAAAGCACTAAAGCAGAGGGTAGTAGGATTAATTCTATTTTCAGCCACAGCTGTAATAGTGGGTTTGCTGGGTTATGATTATCTTGGGAGTTTTATGTGTGCATCTGTATGTATTAGTTTTATATACTAGTTTTTACTCGTAGATAGTGTGAGAATAATAATTTGGATTATTTCAATCTTTCACCCATTACATTAGGGATGTTGTTAGGTAATTGTTATGCACTACTTTACATTAAATAAAACTTGCTAAAATAAATTTTCTGTTTCTTAATCTCTACATTGAAAGTTGGTCGAAGCCTAATCTCAACTACCTTTTGGACAGCGAGCTGGTCTGGTGGTAAAGCACGGGACTTCGGTCCCTGAGATCCTGAGTTCAAATCCCGCAATTTACCAATGGGTTACATCTAAATGATACGGTAATGCCGCAACCTAGGCCTAGCCTGAAATTTGAAAAACGATCTTGGGATCGGATAGAATCTAGTAGAAAAATATCAACCAACTTCTGAATGGAGAAGATATTACCTAAGTATTGTGCTCGAAATTTTATAGAAGGTTTGATTTTGTAGTTAGAAACATTATATGTTAAGCTGTTGCTCATACGAAGCTAATTGAACAAATATCCAAGCACCTTTAAAGTTAAAGTTTTGATTTCTTAACTTTTAACTGCAATTCCAAGACGTTGATGCAGTAAAAATAACAAAAAATAGATAGACGGATTCTGAAACACCAGACCATGACGTTACCACAAAACTAAAATTGGTGAATGTCGGTATTTGAACCTTGACCACCATATCAGAAGTGGCGCTCTCATCAATGATAGCTGCATCCCAACTTCTGAAAATTATAGTCTGTAGTCTGTATGATTGAACCTGTCCCCTGACCCTCTGTCTACCTGTGACTATCCCAGCCTTAAACCATTTCCCAGTCCCTAGGTTGACTGTTATCTGGTCAAGAGATATGTTCCATCATACAGACTATAATGTCACGCATTGACTATAGCCGTTGGTTTGCGTAGGAGAGAGATGGAGCTATACAACACAAGTTATGCGGCAAAAATCCGCATTGGAGCGCCAGTGAGCGATAATTGAGTTCCATACCGATATATTGGCAGACGTTATGATGCCAATAAACTACTTCCACTGGAGTTATTGTGTTCCAAAAACAATTCTTACAACAAATTCGAAATCTTTATACCAAATTAGTAAATATATAGAACGGTCTAACTTTAGTGGGAATATTTTTTCAAATAGGCTAATTATAAAATAATATTTTATTTAATGGTGGCGAGAATAAATGATAGACATTGCAAATGCCGTTTCCCCCTTTAATTGGGTTAAGAAAATATCCTCAATAATTTATCTGATTGGAAAATCATTGTAGTATGTTGTGTGGTTTTGTGTAGAAAGTGTTTTTTCCTATTATAGTTCATTATTTTATTTAGAAAATTAGTGATTTTGTTCAGCGTAATGTATTAGTACGGGGGAGCGAGCTGGTGTAGTGGTTAGAGCGCAGGACTTCAGTCCCTGAGGTCCCGGGTTCGAATTTCACCAAATCACCAATGGATTTCATCTAAGTGACAATGCCGCAAATCCTAGGTCTAGCCTGAAATGTAAAAAGCAATCCCGGGCTCGTGGCTAGCGTCCTAGGACAAAAAATGTATAAGTACATATAATTATCACAGCTTATTTTGATTTGATTTGGTTTGTACTGTATGTATGTTTTAGGATGAAAAAATAGCATTTTCGAAAACTGGCATTTCATACAAATATACATAATAAGGGTTGAAAATTAATGTAAAAAACTAACATTATATTTCCGAACAATACTGTATCCATCGATAATAATGTATGTTAAGAAGATAGCACGCTTTGCTGGTCTTTTAGCGAATTTCCCTATAGGGAAGTAGCTATTACCGTAGGTCTCATGGTAACACTTAGGCCCGGGACCGATTTACTTTTTCATTTTGATGTCCCCAGAGGCCAAAAACACCATTCGTTCAAATTTTTATATATGTATATATATATATATATATATATATATATATGTCCGTGAACACGATAACTTAAGTAATTTTTATCCGATTTTGATGAAATTTGGTTTAAAGGTGTAAGGCGGGATAAACTTGAATGAGTTCGCGATCCAGCATGATCGGACCATGGGAACAGGGTTTTATGGGGGGTTTTATGGGGTAAAAATTGGTTTTTCTCACTTTTGACCCTCAAAACACAAAATTTCCCAATTTTCCTCTAAACCTTCTTAAAGAGCTTAAAAAAACAAACAATTCAGTATATCAAAGTGTTTTTGTACGGTTATTGGTTACGGAGAAAACTAAAAAATTGGTCAATTTAAAATTCCCATGTTATTCTTATGGAGAATATTATAAAATGTTGTAGTTTGCTTGTTTATGGATATCTTTTGATCAAACTTGGCAAATATATTCATTTTATACTAAGCAATAATTATTTTACTTAAAACACACACTTTATTAGTTTCCTTGTAGCAGCAAACCTAGGTACTCGTTAAACCTAATGTTATTTAAATAGATCAATTGAAAATTAATTCAGCCAAATGGAAATTCGCTAAGACAGCAGGTTTGCTGCGGCGGGGGTATTTTATACCATGGCCAGCTTATCTTGGGTATGAAATTATATTTAATATTTATCAATTGATGCTAAAAGTAAAAAAGAATGTACTTAAACATAAATAAATGGCTATCAAAAAGGTTGTAAATAAATAAAGTTATATTTGCAAACCATTTAATACACAACTAAAATAAATTATGGAATTTTAACATAGATCAGCAGTATTTATAAAATGAGAAATTGTTAATGAGCTATCTCCAGTTTTTATTCATAAAAATGTTCTTTGACTTAAAAAAAGAAGAAACTGCCAACCTTTGTACAAAGTGGATGCCAAACCACTACACTTCTCAGCTATTTAAATATTTACTGTAGCAAAATACACCCTTTTAAAGGTCATACGCTGCCTCTAAAATGTCAGCAAACAGTATAATTTTAATTTGATTATATTCCTAGCTATGTACAGATATTAATATAATAATAATAACTAACGCGTTGGTCTGACTATAATTGTATTGTTACTTCTGAAACAAAATTTAAAGTGGCTTATATTTTCCTTGTAAATAAAGAATACAGATGGATTAACGAAACATGAAAATATGCAAATTTTAATGTGATAAACCGAACGTTGTCAACATTTATCTCGTTTTGTGCATGATGTTTAAATTATCAAACAAAATTAGCATATTTTCTCGTTTTATCAACGCATCTCTGTTTTTATATTTCCAAGACAAAATTATATATTATTAAGAAATATTAATAACGTGTTATGAATAAAATGTACTATTATTTAACCGTTAAATATTATGCATATCCTTTAATTTGGTAAAATCATAAAATTTCTGCACTAACGTTATATATTTAAATTAAATCATCAAAAAGTTACACACTAAAAAGACAGCTTTAATACTGTATTTCATAAAAAAATATTTGAATCAATAACGCGTAACATTTCAAAACTGTACTCACAGACTTCTCGTAACGAAAATAACACTTTACAACACAGGCGGCATTCCTAACGGTGGCCGGGGGAGGACTGAGAAATTTAGAAGCACCACTAAGGTGGAATGGGGGTTGAAGGGGGTGGATTAGGGGGTGAAAATCACCTGATAACCCCCTCCCCCATCTTGGCTACCCGCAGTCCTCTCCAACTCGTGCTGACACTTTTGGGACCCCAATATTTAACTTTGATATAGTGTAGAGTTTATTTAACACCCCTGGGCTACGGCCAACACTACAATACATCATCAGTTGTCGATTAGATTGGGGAAATCTAGTTTTGTAC